CTGTGTGTAACTGTTATGATATTGATTGTCAGTATAATAAATCCTGATGGAAATGTTTATGCAAACAAAACCGTTGTCCTGACTTTGATTTAAAAAGTGCCTTAAAATAAACTTATCACTGCTGTTAGATAAATCAAAATTGGCTATTGTTAATGACCTCAACATACAGTATTTGAAAAGTTCGTCTAATATATTGCAACAATGTTTCAAAACATGAGATAATTAAAATAATAATTAAATCTCACATATTTAAGTTAAATTGATCTTTCATTTTGTTCTAAGCCAACTGATAGAGTCTCATTTGCTGTATATCATGTAAATACATGGATAGTGACAGTGTATTAAATTTTACTTATATTTTAATAAAAATTTTCCGTAAACATTAAATATATTGTAAATAAGTAGATAGCGACTATGTGTTGCAATTAACTTTTATTTTAATAAACGTTTTCCGTAAATATATTGTAAATGTCACATATTTAAGGAGAACTTTCATTTTATTCTAAGCAGACTGATACATATTGATAGTTTTTGGACACAGTATGTAATAATCGTATGCTGAGTAATAAAATATTTATTTAAACGTTACGTAAAGAACTATGTTTGCTTACTTTTAAATTTCAGTAAAACTAATTAATAAAGTATAACGTACATATTTAGAGTTCATTATTAAAGATATTGTGTATAGATATTGTATTATAATTATGGTCTAATTGAATATATTTTTTATCGATTTGTAAAGTGAATATTAATCTTATGTAGATATTATTATTAATTTTATATAATGATTACAGTAACTGATGCTTTGTTAAATGACAAACATTGTTTTGTATAATTCATGTTATCAAAAATTTTTAGTCAGTTCATCCTTGGACTAGCTAGCCAGTTATTGCAAAATAGACTTGGTCATTTTATTTCTACGGTTTTTCTACCAAGCCAGTCAGTAGCCTTGAATTTCAAGTACTTCAGACTGTCACGCTTTACTTATATTTCTTTGAACTGGTGTGTTTTCGTCAAAATCTGCTCTACTTTAACATTGTAAAAACATTGTATGTGTGACCACATGACAGCGATTTAACAAACCCTTGTCTTGATGTCAGTGTCCACACTGTTTGTGTGTGACCTTTGCACTTTTCAAAAGTCTGTTTCTAGGTTGTATTCATGCGATTTTCTGATAGTGTCTTAGTGTTAGACAGGCTGAAAGTTCTGTTATTTGAAATAATAGTAAACAGTAAGTCCTACATTAATTATATTTAGTTGTAGAACGATTACTGGTTATGTATGGTTTATGTCCAACACAGCATTGTCTGAAAGTAGCTATGAAGTTTAGAAATGTATTCCATACCTTCACAAGATTTGTGTACGTTTGGAGATGTGTTTACCAGTGAGTGATCAATGGTTATATTGAAAATGGACATAAGTAGTATGTCATTCATTTATTATTTTTAGTACAGATGTTAATGTAAGTAAATTAATGATAACATAATTAAATCTAGACATTGATAACTTGTGGAAGTACTGTCACAACATATTTGTTAAATCTATGTACAGATGTTAAATTAATGCTAATTAAGTATATACATAGGTGAAAGTCCACCTTTGTAAAAACTCGTGTAAGATAAAGTAACATGTAAATTATTTTGTTGTATAAAGTCAAAATTAGTAAAAGTGATATTGCATAATACACGCTTTATTGACGATGTAAAATGTCACATTAGTCAAAGTTTTGATTATTGTATGATATTGCCCTTTTTAGAGTAATTTAAACCTATAGTCATGTATTGTGTACGTGGTAAAATGTATGTTGTGATCTCATTCAAACATGTTATGTTAAATAATGTTTATTATATTCATGTAACTGAAAATCTTTAACCACTTGATTGAGTAAGTTTCAATTAAAATATAATCCTCTTTAGGATGAATTAATTATAATTATAAATGATTTAATTAATTGATGAATTAGGATTAATTATAGGCATGTTGAGACATGTATTGTATGAGTCATGGCAGCCTAGTAATTCTTCCTCTACTTCGTGGTACTATTACATAACCATCCATTATGCCACCTGTCCTGGCGACCTACAACATGCTTCTGGTGGTAAATTTTGGCATCATAGTCGTCTTTCTGGTATCGAACTATAATTTCAAAACTATGACGTCATGGCGGCCTAACATTACGTTTTCTAACGACGCGCCCCTCGTGGCAAGTTTCGGTACCATGACATCGTGGCGGCCTAACAATGCGCCCTGGTGGCAAATTTTGGAACTATGACGTCATCATCTTGATAACATACCCCGCCCTGAGGCAGCCAAACAGCTCTTGGTTCTGAAGTGAGGGGGTAACTACTAAGACCTGACAAGACATCTACGATGTCACTATTTTTACCAGCTATTTTCTTTCTGTTTTTTCGGTTTCAAACTACAAACGTGATATTTGCTGTATTTCTTTTGTACATGGCCATGTTATTCAGCTTCAAACTATAGATCTTTTGGTTTATAGCCCATTTTAATAAAAAATAACTAAAGTGTACATTTCTAGGCTAAATCATTGCTTATATGTACATTACATAAAGACAATGTTACAGTGGCAGTGGTCTTATTGAACGTGTGAAATTAAAAGTAAGTATATGTGTTTTAATTTAGTAACTATATAAATACGCCAAATATTGTGAAAATAGACCAAGGTTATGAAAATTAGTGAGGTAAAACAACCAGCATTTAGTTATTTACCTTGCTATCCTCTGTTGGTATCCAAATGCGTTGGAACCGGTCCCACTTTCACATATTTGACTTATATAGCAACTGTAAATTATATTATATTATCTTTCTGGGGGCAAGACCCCCAGACCCTCCTTACATTGAGCTGCCTTTGACAGCACAGGAACTGCTTTTAGCAGCTCCTTATACTTTCAGTCTCTTATTATAAAACCTGCATATCTAGCCAAGCACCTCCACTTTGCAACTTTATTACTCCTTATTACACCACCGGTATCTTACTTGCTTATAAATTGACAAATCTCTGTCTGTTCATTTACTTGTTAACTGTATTCTACTAAATCTCCCTACATACCTATAAATAGTATATATATATATTAAATGTACGTCCATAATGTCATTCTAAATCCATAAATTATCATTAAGTTCACTGCTGCTGAAACAAAGTTGTACGATGATACCATATTGAAGGTTTTTACCGTCTGATTGTGGCTCGTTATTGTTATGATATTACATTCTGTAGACATGGTGGAAGAGAGAGATGCATTGTTATGCTGTTTCCACTGTATTTTGAACTTCAACAAGTACGATAATACTGTGTTGAAAGTTTCCCGTCTAATTAAAGCCCGTTATTGTTATGACATTAGTTTCTACAGACGTAATAGAAGAGAGATGTATTGTAATGCTGTTTGCACCGTAATTTGAACTTCAAATTAACTCTTATTATAAAGAGATATTTCCATTAACTAAAATTGTTGATTTAACTTAAGTGGTATGGTGTTTATGGAATATATCTGCCGGTAGATTACGTGCGAATGTTTAGTCTGCTACCCATGAAAACTAACTCGAAAATTAATAAACCTGTTTCTGATAAAACCGGATGAAGTCGAGTTATTTTTTGTACAAATAATCTAGACAAGGAACTATATCTATGAAGTCACAAATACTTCATTGTACAGAGAGAAAACCTGAAAACATCAAAAAGATGGTTAAGATAGCTGTAAGGAGAAAGAAAAGGGTTAATATAGTTAATATCCCACAAGTTCATTAATCCAGTTGAAACTAAACTCTGAATTTAGTTTCAACTGGATTAGTGAATTTGTAAAAATAGATTATCGATAGCTCCTAATGAAGCTGTAAAAGCGAAATATTGAGCCAATAAAGTTTGTTTGTTTATTTGAAGTTAAGCACAAAGCTACACAATGGACAATATGTGCTCTGCTCAAAACGGATATCGAAACTCGGTTTCTAGCGTTGTAAATCCGCAGACTTACCGCTGTGCCACTGGGGGCGAGCCAATAAAGATATATTCTCGAGATATAGGTGGTTAGTTATTTACATTAATAGAAATGTCTCGTAATAAATTCCAGTCTAAATTAAACACATTTAAGAATAAGATATGATATTGTTGATATCACACTTTTATACTTGGTGTGTGTTACCATCCTTGCACAGGGCAATAGCCAGCCACATTATTTTAGTGAGGCAAAAATATTTAAAAAAACTTATGTTGCTTAAACAAATATATGTAATATTTACATAACTGTATACTACTATAACTGCGAGTCAACTGTGACTATAAATTACAAATAGTTGGTCACACACTATTCTTGTGAAAGCGATAATAAATAATTTTTAAAATAAAATATATACAAATAAAACAATAATTAACCATTTTATATTACTCTGATATAAATTTTTCTTCTTACAATGTTTGAATTTTTACTCATCATAAAAAAAGTCAGAGAGAAACTTGCCTCAACGTGTAGCTAAGGCAATGCTGATATGTAAATTTATAAACACTATCATTAATTATATACTTCATCGTTTCACGTTCATTGTTCAGTCGTATTTTTCTAGCGTTCATCTTCTTCTGATACTGTTGATCGAGTTCTTATTTACAGTAAACACGCGTGTACTTTATTAATTTTGAACTATTGCTTAATCATTGGATTTAAGGCAATATGACGGAGTTTCGAAACTTTTCTTGCTTGGAGTTCAAAGTTTCAATTTCGTTGCTGAGCTCTCGAATCTTGCAATGTATGTGCAATTAAGCTAAAAATTAAACTACTACGAATGGGAATGAAAACCAAGTTCCACTTGCTGTGTTTAAATAAAGATGCTTGGGTAACTAGTTTTTGTCAGGGGACAATTCAAGACATAAACACTTTGACAACTTGCGCGAAAGAAAAAGACGCACACACACAAAAAAACATGAAACCGGAAAATAACATTAAAATTTACAACTTAAAGCTCCTTGGCAAAAATAATAATCGTACACTTACCTCTTCGGTCAGGTATTTAATCAAGACACTGAACGAATCAAATCCAAGGGTCGCGTGCTTCAATTGCAGCTTCAACCAGTTGAGTTGTTTGGTCCTGGTTTCACAGAGTGCTTCGAGCCGTTGAATTTCCTGCACATTTTCACCCTGGGTTTTCCTTCTCTCCCCGGGGACAGAGGATACTGCAAAGGGTCTATCTTTGGGCTGGACTTGACTGGACACTGTGGAATACAGACGACAGCCAAATAAGAAAAGAAAAATAACAGCACCCAGAAATGCTGCCACAATTACAATAACATTAAACATCAAATCTTTGCTCGGGTTTGTTGTCAAACTTAGATAGTCAAGAAAACCCATTTTCTGATAAGTGTGTATTTAATGGTATGTAACGGTGTGTATTTAATGGTATGTCCGCTAAGATGCCCTACTATACACAACAGACGTCTCTGCAAAAAGTCCAACACCAGCAGTGATATAAAAACTTGGTATACTTCCATTAGTTAATTTTAGTAGCTTCATAAAGATTTCAGAGGGCCGAAACAAGCTTTCCCAGTTTCGAGTATCGTGACGTCAGGGCTATGGTGGTAGTCTATATGGAGATCAGCTATGGAGAAAAAGAGAGAGAGGGAAGAAGTAGGAAAAGAGATTCACTAAAGTATGAGTAGCAGTCAACGCTCTTACAGTTTTTGGACCTATGCCACATGGACGCTGTGGAATGGAAGATTTTTTTTTAATAGCGGAAACATTTGGCTTCATTAATTAGTATGGAGTACCTACAGACCAAACTTTGGATGTTTAATGTTAGTCTGTAATGTTACATCAAGTCCTGATACCGCAGCAGTTTGCGCACGTTCCCACTCTCACGAGAATGCCATGTTTTGCTTTTTCAAGAAAATAAATGTGTACAAGTATGTATGTTAATAACAATTAAGAAATATTCTTCCTAAAATATTCCCTGCAATTATTTCTGTCAAGGTAAATATATGGTTTGTTCGCGAGCTTTAATTTGGAGAAATGACTTTCATTACATTTTAAACTTATTAAATTTTAAACGTAAACAAAGAAACTTTGCTATAAGCAAGAGTGAACAATAATAATGTATAAGAACAATAAGATGAGACACAGAAGTACGAATTACGGTCATTATCATAGCGACTGAATTTCTTTCCATTATCACTCAAACGTTATTGGTTTTATAACAAAGTAAACAGTTCAGTTTCTAGTTGTTATATAATCTACCGGTTCTTAACAAAGGTTAGCAAAGATCTTTGGAATGGTCTCTGGAAAAAAAGTTTTAAATACAATTTAGTTTAGTTCAGTGTCTCACAAGCTTTACCCCACCTAGGCATACTAAAAATATGCGACATATTTAGCAAAATGAGATTAAAGAAACGCACACCGGAAAAGCAGACAATGGTAAATAAGATGATTTGCGGCTGTATTTTCACTTGGTCATCACATTGAACAAATTATTATTCTAATGTATTTCATTGTAACTGTTGTTTTTTAATGGCTACTTTTTTTTTGCGGCACACCCTTTGAGAAACATTACTTTAGTCTTTTCACATAATCTACATTAAGTTAATTCCGTCACGTCCGGAGACTTTATCACGTCAGATCGGAGTCCGCAGGGATTTCGTTCACGTTTAAGGGACTCACAGACCTGAGGGCCCGGCATGGTCAGGTGGTTATGGTGCTCGACTCGCAATCTGTGAGTCGCGGGGTCGAATCCCCGTCACACCAAACATGCTCGCCCTTTCAGCCGTGGGGCGTTATAATGTGAAGTCAATCCCACTATTCGTTGGTAAAAGAGTAGCCCATGAGTTGGCGGTGGGTGATGATGACTAGCTACCTTCTCTCTAGTCTTACACTGCTAAATTAGGGACGGCTAGCGCAGATAGCCCTCGTGTAGCTTTGCGCGAAATCCATAACAAACAAACAAAAGCAGAGCTGAAAAGGTTGAGAACCGCTTATACAGTCCATAACGCAGACTACTTCTGTATGTACGATAAGACTGACGATATCCCAAGGTCGCATTATCTGGCCTTCGGTATTACGAGGCACTTTTTGCTTTGAAATATATAAAGAAAACTTACTTTAATGCTGGGTCTAAATAGCGAAATAATAAGACAAAACAAATGCTTCAAGTAGCGCCACCAAACTTTCATTTTTTAAATGTTTTATTGTGTGAATGCAAGTTTGGTAATTTTCTCATTGTATTCCAATAACAAGATCGTATTGGATTCTAAAATAACACACATTTATAAAATAAACGTCTTTCGCTTTCAGATGTGAAAGCTGAATTTAAAGTACCCAGAAAAAAATCAGTTAGCGATTATCACATTTTGTGCGTTTATAAATATGGGTAGAATGCCTGTTTTTAATGAATAGTACGTAATCGTCACATGATGACTGTACAAAACTGACTTACATCAATCACTATATAACCTTAAAATACATGCTACATTCAGCAAACGCTGTTATAATTTTTAAGCCCCGCAAATAATTTTGGACTTTGCAATATACACTACATGATTTTAAAATAATTGTTTTATTAACCTATTTCTTATAAGAACTGTAACAGTCATTAAATAATTGTGTGGGGAATTGTCAGGTGAAATAAACGCAACAGTTTATCTATTAAATCCGCATAACAGGAAACTTTATACGACTGTTACGACAGAGGAAGTCAGTGACGCTGGTAACACGTAATGAGTATCTAGAAGGTTCGTGAAGGCTCGAGTGTTTGCCAGACTTGCTGTATTCTAATATATAAGCCCGACAATCAAAGCGGAAGGGGATTAATCGGAACTGGAGTAGCAGATAGAGAGATTGAAGATATAGACACAGTTAATCGAGTGGAAGTGAGCAGTGGTGACCGTAAGTAAAGTGCGTGTGTTTAGGTTAAAGTGACTGTAGAAATTAAGTGTATTGTAAAGTTGAATTGAAAAATAATAAACTAGTTTTATTTAAGAAAGGACTTGTATCACAGAAGTTTCTCGGAAAGAATCTCTACGGAAAATTAACAAACGAACACAGACGTAACAAATTGGTGTCAGAGAGTGGGACAGAAAATAAAAATAAAAGAAGAAGAAGAAGAAGGAGGAAATGAAAGGTAACAAATCAAACTACAGCTTAGCAGATTTGATGGCAGCAATATAAGAACAGCAAAAGAAACAAGAAGAACGAGAAAAGAAACAAGAAGAGAGACAACAGCAGTTGCCAGAAAACCTGCAACAGTTGCAGCTCAAACAGCAAAATAAACAAGAAGAGAGATTACACCAGTTGTTGGAGGAAAAAGAAAAGAAACAAGAAAAGAGACTACAACAGTGGTTGGAAGTGAAAGAAAATAAACAAGAAAATATACTACAGCAGTGGTTGGAGGAGAAAAAAATAAACAAGAAGAGAGAGACTACAGCAGTGGATGGAGGAGAAAGAAATAAAACAAGAAGAGTCTCCAACAATTGAGAAAAAGCCAGAGTACACAAATGGAAAACATTAGGAAATTTCAAAGCAAATTAAATACATTAAAGGATGATTTATTGTCTTTTACACAAGGAGGATACATTAACTATCAACTTATTCAGCCCCAGACAATGGCAAGCCCCTTCCAGACCCCGCAGCTAAACCCTAATGCAGACATCATCAGTCCTGTTAGAAGTCACGTCCCAGATATGAAAGTCAACAATACGGGTGATCTAGTACAAAGAAAGCCACAGGAATTCGATGGGAAGGCACCATGGGAAGCATACAGAGCACAATTTGAGCTCCTGGTAGAGATGAATGGATGAACAGAGGAGCAGAAAGCAGTATATCTGGCAAAGAGCTTCAAGGGACAACCACTGGAAATACTTGGCCAGTTGTCAGCAGACGACAGGCACAACTATAGAGCACTGGTAGCTGCTCTAGAACTCAGGTATGGAACCCAAAATCAGTCTGAAGTCTACAGGGCTAGGTTTAGGACGTGAGTCCGTGCTAAAGGGGAGAGCCTGTAAGAGCTGGCACAGGATTTGGAAAGTATGGCACACATGACCAACCTAACTGAAATTTCTAGGAAATAATTTCTACCGGAAATTAACAAACAAGCAGATACGTAACAATACAGATCCTTACAATGAT